CTGTGCTTGCACTGTCCACCAGTCAGTCAGTGGCATGGTTTCTGTTGCAAATTGCCCGTATTTCAGCATTTGTGCGTGAAAGATGCAGAGAACCCTGCATTCTCCAGTTACTAAAGCGAGTCCAGAAGGTGTGCTCGTGTGTGCATGGTGCGAAAGCGGATTCTTGTGCTGCGTGTGGGTTATTTCAAACTCCCACAGGAACCCACAGCACATCGATGCTGCAGCAGTACCGTAAGCTGTGGTTGAACATACAGGTGAGGCCCAGGCACACAAGCAGTGCTGAGGTGCGGATCTCAGAGGGGTGGTATTTCAAATAGGTGCGTAGCCTCCGCTTTGTCTGACAAGTTCAGAGAGCATCCATCGTTGCTGATGCTGTGGGACTTTCTGTATGTCTTGTGATGTGTTTCTGGTGTATAAATACATGTTCTTCTGCAAGTGTGTGCTTGAAGGAGAGGACAAACAAACTACTACCCAAAAGAAAGGTTAATGAAGGTCTGTGTGTTATTTGGATTTAACATTTGAAACTGGGAAGCTCAAGGCTAGGAAGTTAGCTCTTAAACCTGCTTATAAATGTCAGCTCTTGGTGTGATCTTGGTGCAATTCTGAACTTGGCAGCTGTTTATTTTTGCTCACAGTGCTTTATTAGCAGATAGTTTCTATAGTTTCTCCAGGTGGATATTGGATTGGTTTCAAGTATTTTTTTTTATAATGGGCAGGATCAGCAGTTGGCATCAGTCAGTGGAGCGAGATGTACGAGTAGCAACTTCTGTTGTGCTTCAGGACCGCAGAGTGAGTGCTGTGAGTAATGGATTCTCGTGCCACAGAGCTAACAAGGCAGTCCAGTGTCACCATCCCTGGTGGTGTTCTCCCTGGTGTCAGAGTGGCTGTAGCAGGGGCTCGACTGGGGGGCAGTGGGGGATAGGTGTGTGTAGTGTATGTGCCTGCAAATGGTGGTCTGTGCTGATGGTTTGTACTGCTGATTGTCAGTTGTTTCCCAGGTCAAAGGTAATGTTTGCTGCTGCTGTGTCAGCGTTGAGGGACAGTTGGTATAACAGGTTTCTCTTTTTATTTCTTAAACTTTATCTACAGCTGCAGCATCCAGGGGACTTTTTTTTCCTGGCATTTTTCAGTGTATAGAAACAGCAGTGCTATAGCTCCCATACACAGTCCTTGTCCCAAAATGTAAATGCACAGGAAAACTGTTTGCTTCTCTCATGGCCTTTTAGCGCTTTTGAGTCAGACCAGGGTAGGCCTGAGGTGCAAGGTTATTGTCCACAAGGAGAACTTTATGAGGTGTGCATGGTAGTGTGTCAGCTACAGGAAGAAAACCTCAATATTTAATAATATGTTAATAATAACATAATTAATAGAAGTGATACAATGAAGTAGGCATGCATCTCTTATGTAACTGCATTTTGCTCCAAGAATACTTTTATATCAACATCAGAATGTGTTGGAAAACGGGAAAAAAAATCAGTGCTTAATGAGTAATAGGGTTTGTTGTGGTTTTTTTTGTTGTGTGTTTGTTGTTTTGTTTTTTCTTAGTTTTTGGCAAGCCTTTCAAATGATAAATATATGTGTTTTTTAAATAATAAGTAAGTAAATAAATAAATAAATGAATGAGTGTTGGTTTCATTTAAGTATAAGGACGTGTGTGTGAAGTCTGCACATACACACGGAGTGTTACTCCTGGTAGGAAACCGAGTTGAACAAGTAGATTTTGAACAACTGATGATTTAACTAAAATGTGGATTGGTTTTGTTTTTAATCTTTGCAGCAGCCTGTGACCTGAACACTCTATGCTCTTCAAAACCTGCTTTTTCACAGAGGCGAAATCATCATGATGGCATCAAATGTTCATCAAAGCAAAGCAGCACAGCAAGCAAGGTTATTTGAAGCAGAGTCATCATCCAGTGGTTTGTGCAGGAAGCAGGTCAATGTTAAAATGACTTATACAGGAAAAAAAAAAAGTTAAAATATATAGTTGATGTAAGATCCTGGAAAGCAAGTATTCTATTGATGAGAAAACAGATGAATTTATTATGCATTCATATAATCCATTATGCAGGAAATGGAGAACAAACGGATCAGACCTTCCTTGTCACAGGGAAGTGTTATGACTGTTTCTCTGTTTGGAGATGAGGGCCACTTTGCCATTTATATTCTCTCTGCCAAAATGAAAGCACTGACACAACAGGGAAGGAAGGAGGGGGAAGGAAGGGAGGGAGCAGGGAGGAAGGAAAGACTGCCTTTGCTGTCTATGGCACACCCACAGAGCCTGGCCCTCGGGGTGAATGGTGAAACCCAACTGCAGGGTGAGGCCCTCCCACCCTCCTCAGCTGTCTGTTTTATTTTCACTTCTATTATCATTTCACTTTTACATAGTTCTCATGTCTCTTTCTTTTAGGTAACTTTTGATGCCTTATTTCATCTTTATTAGAATTACCACCTTTGTGTACATATTAACTTACTTCCCCTTATTTTTATTGGCCGTATGTTTGGCAGTGGGACAGAACTGCTACTGCCTCTCATCACTGATGTCTTCATCACCAGCTTCTGACACCTGAAGACGACATCTCCTTCAAAGATCCATGCATCTGCATTCTGTTTCCATAAGGTGCTTAACATGAACACCTTTGCACATTTTGGAGCCTGTGTTTTAGTTCCTAAGACTCTGAGGGAAAGCTGGATGCTTCTGCACTCCCCATCCTCTGAAAACTATTTTGGAATATGGCTCCTGGAATCCAAAAGTTCTATTTATTCACTGAGTAATTTTGTTGCCAGTGCCAACAGCAATAACAACTCCACAGTAACAGTTCTGCATTCAAATAATGAGTTTGGTTCCATCAGTAAATAACATCATTTGCACTTCTACAAAAAACCAAGTACAGATTCAGTTTCTTTTGGAATGCTTCATGAGGCACTGTGCTTCCTTCAGCTGTGGCTGTACCTCACTCCTGGTAACCCGTGCTATGTGCATGCCCTTTGCAGACAGCTTGGCCTTCTCTCTGGATGAGTCAGCAGCTTCAGCCACTGTTTGTGACAGGAGCATCAGGACCAGTATCAGAACTTACTGCACTCACCTGCACCACTTGTGGTCTGTGGTACTCATACACCTCTGGGCACACATTTCAAAGGGTTAAATAATGCTCTGTTTAATCGTGATCAACACTCAAAAGAACAGGTTAGGTACTGTCCAAAAATCAATACACAAATGACAAATTACATCCATTATCTACTGTGGCTCCCTGAGTAACTCAGAAGGTGCACCATCAATTACTGTTTGGGTGTGTGCGTGTCAGCTCCTTATATTGAGCGATAGAAAAGTGCTGTGTTCAAGCCATTCTCTAAATTCTCAACACAGAGCCATGAACTACTTTTTAGTTTCCTTCCCCAGCTATTGAGCAGCTACAACCACTGAATTTTACAGGGGAGAGGGGCAAGGAGTCTGGGTAGCAGAGTCCAACAGGACCGACAAGCTGAAGTGTTCTTGAGTTAATCTGCTTCTTGAATTCCTTATTTGACTTTTAAAAATTAGAGACATATACAAAAGTGAGGCATTAAATCAGTTTCATTTGCAAAATTCACCTTTGTGGACTTTGATTTCCTATCACAGACCGTACACACATCATCTGATACCACATTTTCACCTTAGACAATAATCCACTGCCTTTCACTTTACAGGAGTTGACCATTGCTTTAATTCTAACCAGTTAAAAATATTCCTGTATGCTTTTATGAAACAATATTAAAATGTAACCCAAGTTCAAAGTACAGCTATCATGGGCTCCTTTTTGTGTCAGACTTACAGAATAACCCTATGAGAATGCAGGTTACTCTGCAGTCTTAGGGAGGTTGTGCATTCACACTTGAACCCTGCACAGTGCAGTGCTGTAGTGCATGCAGCCATGCAGCATCCCCTGCTGAGCCATCTCTAGGGGCAAACATGACCGTGAGGTTTCCTGGTTGCTGTCAATAAAGGTCAGGTACACTCATTCCTCAGTATTCAGCTTGGTTACAGGTGGCAAGATGAATACTGATTTGATGTACAACATTTGAAAGACCATGGTTGTTTTTGTGGTGGTTGGTTTTTTTTTTTATTGTTATTTTAAATGTTTAATTTTGAAGAAGTTGTCAGGAAGACAGATGAGGCAGTGCTTTCCTCTCCCCACACCCTCCCAGCATTTCCACATGAACCTACCAGCTCCACAACACATAGTCCGAGTGAAGGGAAGAACTGATGTTAAGGAATTTAATTTCCAAGGCTGCTCACTTGGACTCTTTTAAAAGCAGCTTAGAAGCATGGGCCTCCAGAGGTGCAGACTTTGCTAGGTTTGAATGCTGTATTCAGAACTGACTGCTTGTTTTCTAATATTTTGAAAATGCAAGTGAATTAGTGACTCCTCACTGCAATATTTAACAAAATGTGGTGGTGTGTTTAGAGTTTTGGCTAAAAACAAGGATGGCATTTCAGTGGAACACCAGGTATGTGTGCAGTGAGATGGACCAGTGATTGAAGAAAAAAACAGAAACCCCAACAACCAACCCCAGACAACGCACCCTAATAACAGTGTGAAAGTTTCAAACTCCAGGATGTTTGTGCTCTAACAGGTGCAATTACTTCTTAATTTTATTTTATTTTTTTAAACTTTTATCTACATTCCTGCACTGTGTAAATCGGCTTTCTCAAGTGGGGGGAGGAAAGAAAGGCTAGTTTCAGGTAGTGCAGCAAGACTCAGTATAGCTCTTTAATTATTTTTACACAGTAAACAGACTTCTATTTATACCAACACCCTGCTCTTTGCTTTCTTATTTACATGAAACACTTTTACATATATACACGTTAGCAAAATACAGGGTTTCTCCAAGAACCAAATGCATCCGAGCTCTATCTTTGTTACACAACTAATGCTTAGGGGGAAAAAAAAAAAAGCCCACCTCACTGGTTTTCTTACGCACAATGATTCCATTTAGCTAAGGAGTAAAATTGCGCTCATTCCTTCCCATGTGGTACTCTCGCGTTACACAAGACCGTGGCTCCACAGTGATGCTCACAGGTCACTCTGGCAGTAAGGAAGAGGTTTCAAGAGTCCAGCTCTAATTGGTCTTGATTTTCACTGAGTCTTAACATAAGCTGCTGTTCGTAATAAAGGCTCTTTGCATAGTTTATTTCTTGAGACAGCTTTACTGCAAGAACTTCAGATTTCACTTTTACCTGCAAAAAAGAAACAGGGTTTTTCTTAATGTGGTACTGCTACTGTCTAAAGCAGAACATACTTCTTTTTTATCACTTCACTAACTGAAGGGATTAGGTTTAAGTCTCTCATAAGGAAATGTTTCAGTGGAGGTTCCTTCTCAGTGCTGAGGCTGAGAGATGGAAGGAGTGAGAGATGGAGAGACAGGTAAATAGAGAGGTATTTTAGGATGAGAGCAGAAACTTCTTGCAATAGTTGAAGTTATTTCCTTTGCTTCTCCTCCTACCTTTTATCTGGCTTGTCTGTTTGGAATGTAAACTGACTTGGGTCAGGGGTGAGCTTGTAACCTTGTCTGTAAAACAGACCCCTGAGCAACTACTGTAATGAAGAAAAAAAAGACCAATCCATCCTTTAGAATTAGGTTTTAGAAGTGAGAGTTCTGATTAACTTTTACATGAGTGACATAAATTTCCAGTCTTGGTACTTTGTAGTAAAAAAATTACTGTGTTGAGGGGGAGAAGAGAAGACAAGAGTAAATAGACTGCAAAGTACTTCAGTTTCATGCATGTGTTGTAAAGTTAAAAGCCTTTCTCAGGGAGGAACACATTTCCTACTGGAACTTTGCTGCCTGCAGGAATATTTTAGATTTTGCTTTCAGCTTTTCTCAGGAGTTTAGGGAGCAAGTGCTACTGTCACCTAAAGCTTTTTCACAGCAGCTCTTTTCACTACTGACAGAACAAAGTTTTAATTATTATGCAGCACAGGAACCCAAGCGCTAATGACTACAAACAGCACCGGTACAGCATAAAGGGGGAAAAGAAACCCCCTCTGCATGAATGAAACGTGCTAGATCCTTACCATTGGTTTTTGTTGTGATGGGCCTGGCATTGCTACACCACTACTCGTATTAACAGCTTTCTTCGTCAACTGTATGTACACGTTCCCGTGGTCTTTTGAAACAAGGCAGTGGTAGAGGTCATCATACTTGACTTCTAGGAAGATGGCCTCGCGGTCGGTGTAATCTCCACTCTTCAGGAAATAAACTGCTTTAGACGAAATGAGAACACAGTAGCTGTCTATGTTCTCCACTGCTATGAAGCTGGAAAAAAACCAAGCAAAATCCCCACATTATTCACTTGAAGCTAAGATCTAATAAACTAATGAATGTCTTCACCTGTTATGTTTTGAATGACCTCAAGAAGTCTTCCAGAAAAATCAGTTGCGTAGCATGTACAATTCATCTGCATTTAATTTAACCTGGTCTAAAAAAAAAAACCAACCAGGCTGACAAAGTACCCTCTCACCAGTTCAAAAAGATCATGCTGTAAATCACATACTAGCGCTAAACGCTTGGCTTCTAGCTCTGGACATTGAAAGTGCATATAAAAATGTCCTTTAACAAGACTTAAGGAGCGTAATTTCCTTGCACTGGAACACTGCACGTCCTAATAGTGAAGTTTAATTGTCAGTTCAGTGCCATCGCTGATACACGAAAGGTTCCAGACATTTATGATGAGAGCACTGTCCTTCTACACATTGTAAACCTACTGTGCTGCTTCTACCACACACCTCCTGGGCCTCTGAAAACAAAAAACAAGTTTAGCCTGCTGCCTGGATCAGTAGCTAGAAAAGAGAAATTAGCTGTTTAACACTGGGGTGAAAGGTTAAGCAGCAAGCAGGTTTCCCCTGAGAGATTAGGCTGAGTGATGAATAGTGGAGGTAGAAAAGAAGGAATTAAGAATATTGAGAATTGTGATGGCTGAAAAGGTTGATGTGTAAAAGAATAGCAGTAAGGAATGCAAAAGCGAAATAGATACTTCACACACAAACGCATCTCCGCTTCTGATTACTACTGAGATGAACCTCATTAGTGAGCTCTTTATATGCTGAAAAATTCAGAAAATTACATATGAATACCTAACTAAATCGTGCTCTGGCAACAACCCGTAACAGTCGAAGCGTATCTCTAAAACAAAGATTCTCGTGCTGTCAGGTTAAAAGTTCCTACTTTCTGAACTGTTGCTTGTACAAGTCTGTCTGCTGTTGTCCTGATACGCTCTGCGAAATACTCCACTGTCTTTGAAATCAATGAAGACGGTCAGTATGAAGAGCTTTTGGGGGATGAGAAAAGCACCTCTAGCTCTACCATTTAAGTAACACTTTGCACAAATTACTCTGCGCTATATCCAAATAAACCCGTAACTATAAATGGAATTTTAATAGCCAAAAGTATTTCAAGAGGTCAGATCACAGTTTCTTTCTGTGGTACAGAAGAATAATTCCAGTTATTTTCTATTAATAGTCCTCTGAAAGATGGTGTTCTGCACTGAACTTGGCTCTTCCCTGCCCTGTGCCTCCTGGCCGCGTCAGCTGCCAAACGCCCTCCTTCCATACACTTGAGAAAGGCGCACACGCGTACTAACAACTTATATTTTCATGCAGCTGCTGAGGTGAGCACAGCCAGCCTGTTAACACAAAGGCCTGTAGGATCTTTGCCCAGCTCTGCCTTTGCATAAAACTATGGGATAGGATAACTGCATTGTGTTTCTTTAAGTGAAACAAAATGGACAAAAATGTGTACTTCATCTTAAAAAAGCCTAGGTGAAAGACAGCACAGTTACTGAAGCTAACAATTGCCCCTTGGTTTTCCATCAGAGTTCAAACACTTCAGGGTAAGGTTTTGTCTTTGAAATAAGTTAATTAGGATGGAGAGGGATATTTTTTATGAAGTGTCATAGAAAACTTAATTTGAAAACAGAGCAGAGTTACAGCCTGCAGAGTAAGTCCTGTTGCTCAGCACAGGCACATAAAAGCAAGTACAGTGTTTTACAGAGATCCAAGCTCTGGTGTGGCTCAGGCTTCCACCAGCAGCACAACAGAGGAAACGTCCTTTTCTCTGCTTCTTTTCCAGAGGGGCAAGAGCATGAAAAGGTGATGATCAGAACCCCCTAATACTGCATCGCCGGCCTTTGCAATGGTCGCAGCAAAGCGGAGAAGCTGGAGGTTTTGGGAACCCACCACAGCAGACCGGCCGTTCCCCTGACGGACACTGCTCCAGCCACAGGGAGAACTGAGGTGCTAAAAGCTACCATAAAGTTCAGTGGAAGCAACTGGGTAACCAGGCTGCGGGGCTGCACTCTCTCCATAAGAACAACAGATTATAGATCTAATTTTCCATAGAAGATTTTTAGTGGCGTCATGTATATATTTTTGAGGAATGGAAACAGTGAATGGTGATTTAATGGTGATGCAAAGAAACATTAGCTAATTTGTAGTTCAAACTCTATATTTTGTTCGAAGTTTGAGTCATGCATCATTACCCATTTTCTCTTGCCAACTGTTACTTTCTTCTCTGTGTCTTGTTCTCAAAATGGGTATTTAACCTTTTAACATACTACTGCAAGATACGACTTCTTTTTTTGTTTTTAAACACATACTGCTACACTATTAAGAAGATCTCAAATTAATAAAATGAAAAATTAAATGAAACATGATCCAGTAGAACAAAGTAGAAGCAACCAGATCTCTGGAGAATTTGTGGGTTTTTTAACAACATCAGGAAGTAATTACACAATATTTTCCAGAAGTGAAACAGTGAGCCTAACTGGAAAAAAATGTGGAAACATTTAGTTAGAACAGTAGAGCAAGGTATTAAAGCCCCTTTTATGGATTTAACTCTGAAGGAAAATATGCAAATAATCAGGTCTTTAAATGTGTTTCTGATTATAATACTAGGATAAAAGTCAGAGGCATGATTTTGTACTTATTTTCCATGACAAGAAACACTGTGTTCTTGTTGAATGATGTTTCTAGAGGTGAACGTCACAGTGAGTGAAGTGTGACTCGATGACAAAAGCCCACTGCTCTCCCTATGGGGTACACTTGCAAGACGTTGGCAATTATTTTTTGGTCACAAATTGCTCTCTTTCAGTTCTCGCTACCTAAGAGCCAGACCGTATATGCACAAAGACCCTTAAATGAGACGAAAATGATAACGAGAGTGTAAGATCACAGGGCTGCAAGTAAGCGGCAGATGACAAACTCTTCCTCACAAGCAGCTGAAGGCAGAATCTAGAGTGGCACACGGCTTTCAGAGCCAGATCACCAACACGGGTGACATTAAGACCCCCTGCTGAATTGGTACCTCCCTCCAGGAGCCTCACCATCAACCATTTTCACTACTTTGTCTTGGCAGATACTCTGAATGGATACTTGATGCAAACACAGTATCTTACGCTCCTCTGAAAACAGCTGTTCAGGGAGCTGTGGTAGAGATAGGGCTGCATCATGAATTATGCCTTAACCACTCCAACATACAAAATTATGCCTTAACACTCCCCTTCAACAAACTGACAGCTCCTGTAGAAACAAACATATAGATACCTTCCCATACATTCACTCTGTCTTTTGTTTTTGTTTGGTGTCTCTTTTTCTCAAGCCTGGGCACTAATAACATACACTCTTAACTTGCTTTTATGAAACCATATCCAGGACATTCAAATGTAGATGTGCCTTTAGCATATTACCCATTCAAATTATTCAGCATTGAATTTTCTTGAGGAAAAATAACCTACAACTTTGCAAGTTGTTTTGGTCATTAACTGTTAACAGCCGTAGCTTAGGACTAAGATGTACAAGTTAGTGCCTCTCACATCTAAACCAGAGCCACCTCAGAGCGCATTCTGTGCAGGTTAGTTGTGGTTCACATATTGCTGTCAGGGAACCTCCAGTCACTCCCTTAGGCTTTGGGTGTAAGAAGATAAGGGATGGATAAGGGTAGAGCTACAGGGTCTGTATGTGCTGTGTGAGCAGTGGCAGTCAGCAACAAGTGAAGCAAAGGAGCCCTGTGGCCCCCACGGGGATGTTTGTACACAGCCGGTGGACAGGCTGCTGTGGAAGTCATCAGGTGCTCACACTGTGCTGCTAACCGGTACCAAGAGAAAATAAATGAAGTGCTGGTGTGTGTGTCTGTGTGTGTGTGCACATATGTAAAGTGGTTTTAGTCCTCCTCCCCCAAAGACATGAAGATACAATGGCAGGAAACACAACTGAAGTGACTGTCAGTACTCACAACTCATCCTGGATGTTGTCAGTCAGTTTGAAGAGCTGCTCTTGGCCTTCTGCTTGACTTTCTAAATACCGGGGCAAGAGCCCTTGAGGTCCTCTACAGCAACGCGGCTTTCTCACTCTCTCCGCTTGTGTCCTACATACAAAATACATACAGGGAAATTACTTAGTGCAACAGCAGTGCTTTTATTTCCACTTCAACCTGTCAGTACACAAAGTTGTATTTATTTCGAAATATGAGGTGTGACAAAGGCTTTAAAAATACAAGGTCTTCACAAATACAGCACAGAAATTCTGTAATACTTGATCTGGAAGCCATGGTGCCAGTTCATACAGTTTTACCATTCCAAAAAAATGTCTTCCAGTTTTCCTTTACAATTAAGGGGCAGTGTGCTAAAGTAATAGGAACAAGAGCGACCTAAACTGAGTATATATTGTGTGCAGATTTTGGGATCTATTTATCAGCAGAGTCTTAATGATTTGACTGTTTCTGTTCACTTCTCTAAAGAAAATAAGAGTGCATCAACCTAGATAGAGCTCACATCGATGGGCAGTGTCAGTAGTTTAAAAATTGAAGGGTTACAGAAATAGGAACATGCAATTAGGACAAAAGAAAGATCCATGGTTAATTAGAGTACCCATAGTAGGGTTTAGCATGCTTTACCTTTCTTGTGTGTCTATTAAAAAATGACAATAATAAAAAGACACAGAGGTTTGGCCTAACAGACATCAGAGGTTGATACTGGCCACAGTGCTAAAGAACTGCAGGCCAGGTTCCTCCCTTAGCAGTATTTTGTTAAAAAATAATATTCCGAATTCCTTTAAGCTTTGGAACGCCCTACCCCTGAAGAACTGTGTTACAGCCTGCCTAGCCCTGCTTTATTCTCTGTCCTTTCCCAGCAGCATCACCCTGGGTCTGCTTAGGCTTTTTTATTCCTCTTTCAGGCTACTGCTGCTACTAATTTTCCAAGTCAAACACACCATTTTTGATCAGTGCTCTCTATTTCGCATCTTCACGCTTCGTAAAGATCCTGTACAAGGAACCACTTCTGTTCTTTTTGATCAAAAGACACAAAAAATCCCACGTAACAACACATTTTCAGCTGCTTGGCAATAGCGCCCAAGAGCACTTGCCTTCTAAGCTTTACTTTCTGCAGATGTTTTCTCCGGAGCCTTGTTTCTTTCTTACCTTTCCCTTTCAGCAGCCCTTCCCAGACTTGCAACCCATGCACCCTACTAAAATTCGTTTTCCTTTCAGTCTGTGACACTGTTGTGACTTACTGGCACCTTTGCTGCTCGCCCACTGGGGACTGGCCTCTCAGAGCACTCTGGCTATCATTGCTCTGTCTGGTATCAACAAAGTATTTTGCAGACAAGGTGCAGAAGCCAGAGATAGTGGCTTTGCAGCACAGCAGAGGAAAACAGCAGCCAATTTACATTTGTAATACATTATGACTATCTATCTGGTAAATTCTGATTTTGTTAATGAGATTACTACATCCCTGGATAACAAATTGCAGTGGCTCAGACATAGAGCTTATCACTGATCTCTTTGAGAAAAACTTCAGGACTTGAAACCTGACTTCACTTCAGCTGAATTATGGTTATGCTAAGAGGGAAAGTCAGTTTGTCAGCAGGGAGGATGAAATGAAGAGTGGAAATTGTCCAACTAAAAGAATGTAAAACAGAGGAAGGGCTTAAGAAACCATAACAAATGTTGTCATTAATAGTGCCAGTAAAATGTTATCAGTCAATTTGCAGTTTTACCTCTGCTGACAGATGTTTTACCTGTCCTGCTGCACTGCTTTCATTTCTGGTTAGACGTTCATTAGTTAATTGCAGCATTATGCATCCAAACTAAAAAATACCACTGAAAATTGCAGCTTGCTGCATAGAGGTACATAGTTTTCCTCACTTGCAAAAAGTACAGTGTTTTTACCTATTAAATTATTTCTTACAAAGTAGTAAACAGAAGTGTGTGTTTGCCTTCATGACAAGCAAAATGTTGAGGCAAAGAGAAAAATAAAGAAAATAAAGAAATAAAAGAGTTCCAACCAGCATAACTGGCATATTGCTGTCCTACTTCGTAACCTCCAAAAGCAGTAAAATAGTTGAGTTTCACTTATCCAAGAAGCCCCCCTGTTGGCTGTTATACCACTCCACGGCACCTGTGCCGTCTATTGACAAGTTTAAAGAGTGGATGTCAGAAGCGTAATGCACAGTTTTTAATTAATTGTGGGCCAGTCAGTAACTGTTTACTTGGACACTTTCCTATCACACATTCAGGAAAGTTAGATACCATCCGTACGGAGCGAGCCACACCACTAACCACGTTCTAGATAAACATTCAGCTGTGCTATTTTCTCTAATATTCTGTAGTATCTGAAACATTGCAAGCAAGACTACTGCAAAAATGAGGCAAGAACGGGGCCTTTTAATCAGACCAATTCTGTAGAAACCTGAGCACCAGCCAACACTGATTTCTAATGTCTGGCTTAGAAGCAGGTCAGAGAGAAAATACTGGTACTACAGAAGTACTGGGTACCACAGTGAATTTCTGGAGGGCTTGGCAATTTCTGAGTTGTGGGTCTGATTGTGGTTGGTTTTAAGTTTTGGTTTTGTTTTTAAATGGAAGAAGTACTGAAGAGTGCTCAGTGTCCCCACTGCTCCTCCACACTACAATGTTCATCCTGGTGATAAAAGATAATTCTCATCTCGGTGATAAAAAGGTCGGCTGCTTTTCAACTAAGTGTCACCGGAGCTAGCATAAATCGCGTTGATTTCGTCCATCAGCCCCTTGGCAAACTGGTCTGTTTGGTCTGGACAGCTAAAAACATTCCACACAACTTGAGTTTTTTCATCTAAAAATTTGTTCTACTGTCTCAAGTTACATTCTGTAAATAATAAGCAACACTGATGAAATACAAAAAGCTGAAGATCTGTAAAGCAGGATGAACGGTGGTGTGCCCACATCTGTGTTACATTAAACATGCACTCAACAGATTTGCTGATTCTTTTTTAATAAGCACACAAAGGCAATACAAGACAGAAATGCCCTCACGTCTACGAGTCACAGCAGGGAAGGGTGCTGCTGAATGAAGACACAAAGAGATTGGAAATGGTGTCAGAAGGTTGAGGCACACACTCCAGTTCTCCCCCCTTCGACAAAGCTCTGCACTGGAGAATCTCATTTCCGATGACCGTATGCCCACTAAAACAGTTCACAGTGTTAATTGCTTGGCTTTCGCCTAACAGTTCACAGAATTCTTGTGGTGCAGTTCACCAGTCTTAAGCCAGAAGTTTTGCAATCAAACAGATCACTGACCCATCGACACAAAAATGTTGTTCAGGTGATAATTATTTACCAGCGTAGATTGAAAAATCTCCACAAGAGACATCACATGTTTTACACAATTACTGATCCTTGTTCCTTCCCTGCACATTCACCCCTATCAGGTTTATCAAATCAATGTACGGTGTTTTTGAGAACAGTAACTGTCACTCATCTTTGAGGGTCTTCTGAACCTAAAAAAAATTCCTCGATGTGTACCTAGATTGCTTTGACAAAAACATTAAAAAGTACAAATCAGAAGGTATCAAACTTTGTATAATCAACAGATGATAAGTCTGTGAAAAGAAAACATTGCACTTCTAAAATTAGATACAAATCTCCAACTTTCCATTTCCTTTTCTCCTGAGAGGATTAAAAAAAAAACCAAGAAAAAGCCCTATGACCGACACAGCAATCACTACAACTTTTCATTTAAAACGTGCATCTGTGGAACTTCTGATCTGTCCTCTGGTAAGGGAGCAGCACTGGCACCTACAAATCTCTTCAAAAAACCCAACATGAGCACGTACGCAGATTCTGATCCATAATCAGAACAGTGCAAGGACGCCCAAATCCTGCACAGACAACAGCTCTACGTGAACCCAGGATTTCATGGAGGCGGCTCTTGCAGAGACTTCCCCTGCGGCACTGCCTGCCCATCACCAAAACCCCACGTCCACTCCAGCTGACCGGCACCAGCGCGCAAACTGGCCATGGAAGGCCCCCACGAGGTGTCTCTGCCCACAGGGCTCTCCCCCACACACTGCAGTGATCGTTTTCTTCAGCTGAACCCATGTCTTGCTGCCAAAACTTCCAGCAACTGTCATCAGTGTGTCGCATTCATAAAGGTGTTCCAGTTTAACAACCTCATCATTCCAACCCATTTAAAGCAGTAACTTACCAGTTCTGGTATAGCTCAAATTCTGTCAGTGTTTCCATTGTAAACTTGTTTTTTCAGGTTTGTATAAAATTTATTGATAAAAGCCTGCTCTGGGCTGTAACCTGGCATACTGACTTTCAGCCTGGGAACAATTTTTATCCCCTTGAAATAATTATAAAACAACCTTAGTTCAAACAAAGGAAAACTGGCAGGTAATGCAAGCCCATGAAACAATTCAATTGCTGCTAGTATTTTGAAGAAATTATATCAAACCTGTTACTTTCTTGGCTCTGGACAAAGTCTGCTTCATAAATACAGGCTGTGCTTTGTCTGAGGAGGCTTTAGTGCATTTCAGACATTTCAAAGTGACTTAATCTGATAAGTTAAAGGAGGTATAGCCTTACATCTCCTATCATAGAATATGCAACAACTAAAATACCTGCTGCAGTTGCTCAAGTTCAAGGCTGAATTGCACCTGCAGCCTTCTACAAGGATCCCATGCACATAATTTCCACAAAACACAGAATGAAGACAGTGCTTGTCTCGTAGATGTGTAATGGGAGGACACAGGGTAAAGCATACTCGGAAGTGCCAGAATCAATTAAATGCTAAACAATATAAACCTTAAAAATTAACCTGACAGTTCAGCCATCACAGCAACAACTACAGATGATACAGTCACACTACAGGATCGTAAGATAACAAATAAAACCAAATGTATGCTGTTTCTGCTATAGTCTCTATTTCATATCACACCTTTGCAAAATAAAAAAAAAAATCCACTTTTTCCACAATTCTTTCCTCACTGCTATACTTCGTACTTTGTTTCAAATGTTGAACCCTTGCGATAAGCAGGAACGTC